GTACAGGACCACAGTGACCAGTCTCAGATGCTTTTGCCAATAAGATTAGAAAAGACCAAAGAACCCAACCTGTTGCCGTCAAGTCGATTCCAACTCACAGCAACCCTATAAGGAATGGAAACTCAATATTAAGGCCCTTTTCTGCCCTATAAAAATTTACTGCTGACTCCAGGGGATACTTAGAAGGCAGAATTCAGAGGCGTTTGTGATTGGTTGGAGAAGAAAGTGGGGGAGAAAGAAGAGTCGAGAACGACAGGCTTTAGCAGTAGGACCACCTTTCCCCCCGGGCATGTCTGACACTGGAGACCAGACCTTCTCATGGTGGGGTGGACACTGCCCCCCGCCCACTGGATCCCTTGTGCGGAAAAGCCTGTGGATTTGCCCAGGCACACTTGGTTTTCCTGCATCCCCACAGCCACAAGAAAGAAAGTGCTTCCCAGACACCCCTGGAGTGACTTTGCCAGGAGACAGAAAGGAAGTGTGGTCTGCAGAATGAGGCTGGACAGAGGGCACAGCCCGCTGTTCGTCAGAGGTTTACAGGAGAGGTGCTGAGAAGCGATGGGGTGGCTGTCTCCAGAACGTCCCACAAGCAGCAGCCCCCGAGAGGGCCTGGGGGGCCGGGGGGCAGTCTCTGGGGACCGCGAGCCTCTGGACTGACTGCTCAAGAGCTCAGGGATGAACGGACGGCCTTGTTTCCTCAGGCAGATGCCCTCTCCTCAGGCTGCCTTGCCTCTGAGGCTCGGGCGGGTCTGGGGCTGCGCTGTCTTCATGTTCCTGCGTCTGTCACGCGGCCCGGTGGGGCACCGGTGAGCCACAGGGCATGTGGAACTATTTTCAAATATGGTAACAAAGGATTCTGGGATGTATGGCAACATCCAAGACTAATTTCTCCCAAAAACGATTCTGACAAGTCATTGTAGTCCGTTTGTTTATTTAACAAGTATTTATTAAGTACCTATCATATACCAGGCCCTGGAGATAGAGCAGTGAGCAAGACAGACAAAATGTCTGTCATGGACTTTACAATCTAAGGGGGCAAAATGGAAAAAACCAAACAGGTTTTTTTTAAAGCAAAGTTCAAAGAGTGAAAAGCACCATGAATTTGTTACAAGGAGGTTAATGAGAAGTGGACTGGTTGGGGGCTGCGTAAGTCAGGAAAGCCTCTCTGAGGAGGTGAGATTGCAGGAGAAGAACGAAGTGGTCGCAGAGGTCTGGGGAAAGGGCTCTGGGATGGGACTAAGCTGAGAATGTTGAAGACATAGAAGGAGAGCCAGCGTGGTTGGAACATGGTAAAGCAAGGGTACAGTGATTGCAGGACATAGCAGAGGGACAGGGCAGATCACAGTGAGCTTGGCAAGTCCTACTCTTGCAGGTTAGATTTAGCCCCAGTCAGTGACTTACATAAGGTATTTCTCGTATAAGAGAAGCCCAGAATTAGGAAGTCCAGGCCTGAACTGGTGGCTCCACGGTCATCAAGGATCCAGGCTCCTTCTTTCTTCCACCATATTACTGTGAAGTTTCCATCATGAAGGTTGCTGCATGATCACAAGATGGCTGCTGGAGCATCATCCATCACATCTCCATTTCAAGCAGTCAAAACCAAAAACCAAACCCATTGCCATTGCATCGATTCTGACTCAGAGCCACCCTATAGGACAGAGTAGAACTGCCCCATAGGGCTTCCAAGCAGCACCTGGTGGATTTGAACTGCTGACTTTTTGGTTAGCAGCCAAGCTCTTAACCACTGCGCCACCAGGGCTCCATTTGTAGCAGGAGGAAGGAGGAGAAGCTGAGTCAGCTCCCTGCTTAAGAGCAACCCCACTCAACAACTCTGCTTTTATCTCATCGGCCAGCCCTAGGTGTGAAGGAGGAGTCCCTGGATGGCCCGAATGGGTAAATGCTGGACAATTAAGCGAAAGGCTGGCGATTTAAACCCCCTCAGAGGCTCCTCAAAAGAAAGGCCTGGCGATCCGATTACAAAACCTTGTGGAGCAGTTCTACTCTGCACACATGGGGTTGCTATGAGTCGGAACCAACTCAACAATAAGTAACAATAACAAAAATGTAAAAGAGGCTGGGAAATACAGACATTTCGCTGGTACTTCGCAGAACAAGGGCTCAAACAAAGTAATAAGCACAGAATAAACATCGGGTGGGCAGCTAACGTTCTGTCCCGCGTGGGCTGCGATACGGAGCCTGCGTTTTGTTCTAAGTGCAATGAGAAGGCTTTAGAGGGTTTTATCACATGCTGATGGGATTCGATTTGCGCAGCGAGAAGATTACTCTGGCTGCGGGTGGACCATAGACTGGAATCAGGGAAGCAGCTGTTGCAATACTGCAGGTGAGAGATGGTGGCTGGACAGGCGCTTCTCGCTGAGGTGGTGAGAAGCGGCTGCATTTGGCTTCTGCTCTGTAGCCAGTGCTGACAGGACTTGCGGACAGGCTGGGTGTGGACGTGAGGGAAAGAGAGAATCAGGGACGGATCCCAGGTTTGGGGGCTGAGTAATTAAGCAGATGTGGCCCCATCTTCCCATAGGGGTGGAAAAGGTAGGAAGGGAAGTGAGGGTCAGTAAAAAGCTCTGTTTGAACGTGTCCACTTTGAGGGGCCCCTTCAGCACCAATGGGGGCTGCTGAGCGGGTTGTTGGTGTTCCGGGCAGAGGTCACACAGATTTGGGAGTTGCCAGCAGAGAGATGTTTTCTGTGCTTGTTTTTATTTTATTTTATTGTTGTGCTTTAAGTGAAAGTTTACGATTCAAGTTAGTCTCTCGTACAAAAATTTATACACACGTTGTTATGTGACCCTAATTGCTCTCCCTGTACTGTGGCAGCACACTCCTCCTTTCCATCCCGGATTTCCCGTGTCCATTCAACCAGCCCCTGACCCTCTCTGCCTTCTCATCTCACCTCTGGACAGGAGCTGCCCATTTAGTCTCATGTGTCTACTTGAGCTAAGAAGCACACTCTTAATAAGTATCATTTATGTCCCATCGTCCAGTCTGATCTTTGTCTGAAGAGTTGGCCTTCGGAAAGTTTTAGTTCTGGGTTGACAGAGAGTCCAGGGGCCATATCTTCTGGAGTTCCTCCAGTCTCAGTCAGACCGTTAAGTCTGGTCTTTTTACTGAACAGAGAGATGTTTTTGAAAGCGAGGGGCTAGGTGAGTTCACCAGGGAGAGGGTGTGGATAAAGCAGAGAAGAGGGCCAAGGGCTGAGTCCTGGGGCGCTCCAGCTTCGAGGTGGGCGGGCCAGCAGAGGAGGCAGAAAGGCAACAGCCAGCGACGGAGGCGGGAACCAGACAAGTGCGCTGTGGACGGAGGGAGCGGCAAGTGCCAGATGCTGCTGAGCGGTCAGGTATGGTGTGAACAGGGATTCGCCCCGGGGTTTGGTGACATGGAGGTTGCCATTCTCAGCTGCCACGGAGCCGTCTCTGACTCATGGTGACCCCACGCACAACACCATCAAACGATTGTCCAGTCCTGCCCATGCTCAGTTTCAGATCGGACCCTTATGCTCCATAGGGTTTTCATTGGCTGATTTCCAGACATAGATCACCGGGCCTTTCTTCCTAGTCTTTCTTAGTCTGGAAGCTCTGCTGAAACCTGTTCAACATCATAGCAACACACGAGCCTCCAGTGATAGACAGGTGGGGCTGCGCATGAGGTGCATTGGCCAGGAATGGAACCCGGGTCTCTTGCATGGAAGGTGAGGATCCTACCAGGGAAACACCACTGCCCTCATCTCAGAGAGAACAGCTGACGAGAAAGAGGACAAGCTACGAAACGCTTTCCAACAGTTTTCCTCTAGAGGAAAGCCATCAAGTCAATTCCAACTCATGGCAACCCCATGGGTGTCAGAGTAGAACTGTGCTCCATAGGGTTTTCAGTGGCTGATTTTCCAAAGTAGATCACCAGATCCATCCCTGCTCCCCAAGGTCCCCAGAGAGGGTGGGTACGAGACAGGTGAGGGCTCAGACTTCTTGTTGAAACCACTGGCTGTCAAGGCTGGGCACTCCATTTAGTCACAGGAGTCATTTCAGAACCAGCAAAGCTACACTGAATTCCTACTGGGTGCAAGCAAGTCACTGTACCGGGGAGAGTCACCTGCATCATCTCAGTTCTGCAGGACTGGTCACTGACGGCAAAGGTTTTGTCCCCTCTTGTCTCTTTTTGCCTCTGAACCAGGGATCCCTGACTTGGGGTGAGTCATTTCCACATCCTGACCTGGATTTCCACAGGCATCACCCACCCCTCCTTCTTCTGCCTGTCCTCTTTTTCCATCTCCCCGGGTATAGAAGAGGAAGGAGCTGTCCAAAGATGACTGCACCAGGGTTTGATTTTGCTTTAACTTGTTTATAGAAATTCTCCAGCACGCACAAGGTCAGGGAGAAGAGGCACACGGCCCCACGCGCAGCCATTGGCGGAGGACCGTGGTCACGTAGACCTGGAATTCATTTTGCTAACGGCCTCCAGCAGGCTTTTCACACTGCAGTGGGTCAGGAATTCAATTTAGGGGGTGAGGACCTATATTTTTAAATGCAATAAAAGGGAATATAATAGAAAATAGAAACATCACGCATAAAAAGGTAAATGTTATTTCTGAAACCCTTGCTTTGGTGGTGCCTATGTCTATGTTTATATATTCTTGTGGACTTGCATGGGGCACTGCAATGTCAGATGGGTTTGTTACATTGAGTTTAAGGTCAAGAAAGTGTGAAGGCCACTGAGCCCCTCCTTTCTGTCTTCTCCCGCCCCTAGCCGTGCGCCCTCACCACAACAGCCTGGACAGGGGTCACCAATCACTGGCTGGAGCGATTGTTTCTGCACCAACGGGAATCTGTGTTACGGATGGACAAATTCTCACGTCGGAGAAATACTACTTCAAAGTGAGGCCAAAAAAAAAAAACCCAGCTGCCATCAAGTTGATTCCAAATCATGGTGATGGGTCAGAGTAGAACTGTGCTCCACAGGGTCTTCAGTGGCTGATTTTTGGAAGTAGATCACCAGACCTTTCTTCAGAGGTGGCTCTGCATGGACTCGAACTGTCACCCTTTTGGTTAGCAGCCAAGCACCACCCAGGGACACCGAACTTGCAGCAACCCAATCTACATCTACGTGGCGTGACATTTAATGCAGTTTAACACAGAGAACAGTTCTGTGGAAGGACGCTGCCCCATTCCTCAGCCCTGCTGGGGTGGTGCCGGCAACTCTGACGCCAACACAGTCTGGCAGAGGTCAGACGGGTGCTCTCATCCCAGCTGCGCCTGAGAGCGGGGGAGCCTTAAGAACCACCCCCAGAGAGTCCTGTGTCACTGGGGGGCCACTGCCTGGGCACTGGGGTGTTTAATAGCTGCCCAGGTGATTCTATGTAGGTGGAGACCGAGAGCCACCAGCCGGAAGGACGCAGGAGCTCACCTCCCCGAGCTGAGGCGCTAGACGCACCACGGACACACCGCTCCCTCCTGATGTGTTTGGGGGCAGAAGGTGACAGGAGGCCTCCCAGCCTACCGTGGAATCCTCTCTGCACAGTGCCCCAGAGACCCAAAATCACCCCTTTGAGCAAAAACACCTCAACAACCACGTCCCATTTAGTCTACCTTAAACGGCGCTCCACTGCTCCGTCTTCCTGCCTACAGGCAGACTGTGCTCTTCGGAACCTGCCCTCCCGCCTTGTGCCTGGCCTCTGACCTCCGCGCCCTAGGTCCCCCTCTGCATGCAAAGACCATAGGGGCCAGGATGTTATTTTATTTTCATTTGCTTATAGCAATTTCCAAACACGTGAGAATAGGGAGAATGGTTCTAATGAACCCCCATGCACCCAGTGCCCAGCTTCAGGGGTCACCGATATTCGGTGAAGACAGTGTTTTCAACAATTCCTAGTTCTCCAGCAGTTTGCATTCCAACAGAGAGGAGATTGCCCGGATGTCATAGCCCTTCCACCTCTGTGGGTCCTCTAGGGACTGAAACTGAGAAGAACATTGAAAACCTCCACTTAACCCTCTGGTGGCGCTGCGGTTAAGAGCTTGCCTGCTCACTAAAGGATTGGCAGTTGGAATCCACCAGCTGCTCCTTGGAAATCCTATGGGGCAGTTCCTCTCTGTCCTATAGGGTCGCTATGAGTTGGAATCGACTCAACGTCAACGGGTTAATGGGGGCACTTACAGGAGTCCCTGATTGGTGCAAACTACTAACGCGCTCGGCTGCCAACCGAAAGGTTGGAGGTTCAAGTCCACCCAGAGGCATCTCAGAAGAAAGGCCTGGAGATCTCCTTCCAAAAAAATTAGCCACTGAAAACCCTATGAGCATATTTCTACTCCGACACACCTGGCATCACCAAGAGTCAGAGTCCACTTGATGGCAACTGTTTGGGCACTCAAGGGCTCTCATCTAGAGCCCCCCAGCCCCTGTGCTCACACATTTGGAAGGCCCTCATCGCGTGCTTGGTAGCTTCTCCATCCAAACCCAGTTCAGGAGAGCCGAGCTTGTGGAGGAGCAGTGAAAAGATCCCAAGCTGTCTTCAGAGAAACTGCTGGTGGAATTCCCAAACCTCACGGGGTTTAGGGGCTTGTTTGCCCACTCGGCACCCAGCTGGTCAATACCGGGTTGGCCAATCACCTTCAGAGGAAAACATACTTGCCTCCAAAATCTGTCAGCACCGAGATTGCCAGCTTTGCCGCGAGATGAGAACTAGATCTGAAACGTATTTGTTTTGGGCAGGGGACGAGAGGAACAGCAAAGTGGTTCATTTCAAACTTTAGTGGCTTTGTCGGGGTGCGGGGGGGGGGGTGTTGCTCAATGCCTGGCTAACAGCTAAACTATCTGAACTCCAAACCAAAATAAATACGCCTCTGAAGTTAAACAATGTTATTACGTCAAGGCTGATGTAATGGTTCCAAACCATGAGAAAATAATATTCCAGCATAATGGTCCCTCTGTTCAGCCAGAAGAGAGGCTGGGCTGCTGGCTTTTTGACAAGTGGAATTTGGTGTTTTCAATCGTTGTTAAGCTGGGTGTGTGCACGGCATGTAACCTAGTTAACGACATTTTAGTAATTGTGATATGAAAATATATGGATGGATATTAAAATATCATTGATGGGTGCAGAGCAGGCCCCAGAACCGACACCAAGAAGGGTTCCAAAATTCTCAGCCCCTGCTGGTCCCACCTCTGAGAGCCCTCCCAGACTCAGCTCCTCATAGGGTGACACTGAGGATTCCAATGACCCTCCAGGAGGTTACAGTTCAAGGGCTGAAGAAAGAGCAAGATGGCTCCAAGGCTACGTCACACTGGGAGTCGACGTCCAATGGAGGAGGCGCTACCCGGCCTGACAACGTACCTGCACGTGCCCTCGACGCCCGCGCACCTACAGACAGAAGAGAAGCTGGCTCCCACCACCAGGAGGAGCTGAGTGGGACCTGTGCTAAAAAGGAGCAGTCCTTGGTTGACGCTCTCGGGACCAACAGCTTAGAGGCCCACGGCCCCCCGGGCTCATGCTGACCCTGGCCTTCTGGCCTTCAGGGCTTGGTCCTGGGGTGCTGGCTCCTTTGCACCCCTCACCAGGTAAAGGCAGACAGTGCCCCCCAGGAAGTGTGCCCCCAGCCTCTCCTACCAGGTCCAAGGCTGATGTAGGAGGACTTTGGCATGAAGACGACACTCACTCTCTGTGTTTCCTTGGACAAGTCGTTCCAAGTCTTGCGTCTCAACCTCCCCATCCACAAAGCGCAGCCCTGTAACCCATGCCTTCCCTGTGCGGGCACCTTCCACACCTGCAGGAAAGGGTGCTACAAAGGGCTCCAGAGAAGGGTCTTGACAAGCCACAGGTGCGGGGGTTCATTCAAGTCCCCAGGTTCCAACAGGGTAAGTCAGAGAAGCATGCCAGCCAGTACAGCCGATCCCTTCCCATCCCAGGTTCTATGTAGAATGCAAAGATTTTATTTTATTTTATTTTATTTGCTTATCATTCACTAATACCAACCGTCAACCACATGCAGAACTCGGAGCTAGCCTCAGCCCGTGGCTCATGGGCTCCTGAATCAAATCAAGCCAAAGAATGGGTAACGACAGACATTAATTGTGTCATATCTCATTGAATCCTGACCATAAATCTATCATTACCGCTATTTTGCAGATGAGGAAACAGAGGCTCAGGAGGTTAGTGACCGGCCCAGGGTTGCATGGGTGGAGTCTGGCAGAGCTACAGCCATTTTACAGATGAGGAAACAGAGGCTCAGGAGGTCAGTGACCGGCCCAGTGTTGCATGGGTGCGGTCTGGTGGAGCTATAGGCCTCATCTGTGTTACTGTTGCTAGCTGCTGTCAAGCCAGCCCCTGAGCCATCCCTGTGCACAACAGGATCGAACCATTGTGATCCACAGGATTTTCAGAAGTAGATCGCCAGGCCTTTCTTCCTAGTCTGTCTTAGTTCGTAAGCTCCACTGAAACCTGTTCATAGTAGCACACAAGCCTCCACTGACAGGTGGGTGGTGGCTGTGCGTAAGGTCCACTGGCTGGGAATCGAACCTGGGTCTCCCTCATCCAAACCAAAAACCAAACCCGTGGCCGTTGAGTTGATTCTGATTCCTAGTGACCCTACAGGACAGAGTAGAACTGCCCCATAGAGTTTCCAAGGAGCGCCTGGTGGATTCAAACGGCTGACCTTTTGGTTAGCAGCCATAGCTCTTAACCACTGCGCCACCAGGGTTTCCAGTCTCCCTCGCAGAGGGTAAGAATTCTGCCCCTGAGAACCACGACCAGCCTCAGCCTTGCCTATAAGACAGGATAACACTCCACTTCAGGAAGGTGCCGGCAGGGCTGCACGAGATGGCAGGGAAAGGAGCCAGGGGCCAAGTGGCCCGAGGTGGGCACTCAGGGGCATGGGTGGGGATGGTGTATGGCTGGCTCTATGAACCATCACCCCAGTTCTACCTTGCGTCTGCTCCAGGTCAGGCCGGGACAGGTGTGAGCACCGTGCGGCAGGAAGCTACAGCAGGAAAAGGAGCAGCACACTGGTTTCCACAGTCACCTGGGAGCCACAACATACAGGCAAGCCTCCACCAACACGTTCGAAACACGTCTGCTGACGCGCTGGCGTTTACAGACCCTCCCTGTGCCCTGCTGCCCTGAGTGGGGCCCTTCTGAGCAGGCCACACGAACCTGGGAGCCCTCTGGCTCTAAAGTCTTCCTGGTACCTGCGGAGCGTGCCCTGAGGGTTCACAAAGAATCTGTCGAATGAAGCAATGCAAGTTCTGGCTGACCCCATCCTCCTGCTCTGCCCTCACTTCTTCCTGCTGAAACTTCATTTCCTCCTGGACAAGAGCCCGCACTCGTTAGAATTCTGAACCCGGCGCATCGTCCACCAGCAAGATGGAGCACTACCGAGCCAGTGGCTGCTCCTGGAACGTTAGAAGATGCCGTTGCCTTCTAACGGCACCCCCACCTTCCCACACCCCAAGACAGGATTGGACCAAGTGGCAAAATCTCCAAATGCCCCATACACCCTCGGAGTTGCTGGCTCACTCTGCCCCCGCAGGCAGAATGGCCAGCCTGCGATTTCCCCAGCACACCAGCAGATCCGAAACTCCTTTGGGGCCAAGTAGTAGCAAGGCTGGAAACAAGGAGGTGTCAGGTGCTTCCTGATGGAACGGCTTGTTAAGTGCTGAACAAGTTCCCCGGGGAGGCTTCTCTGCAGGTCTCACCAACAGGCCCATCTCAGTTACCTAGTGCCGTTATAAGAAACATACCACAAGTGGATGGCTTTAACAAACAGAAATTTACTCTCGCACAGCTTAGGAAGCTAGAAGTCCGAAATCAGGGTGCCAGCTCTAGGGGAAGGCTTTCTCTCTCTGTCCACTATGGGGGAAGGTCCTCATCAATCTCCCTCTGGGTCTAGGAGGTTCTCAGTATGGTAACCCCGGGGCCACAGGACACTCTGCTCCCGGCTCTTCCTTCTTGGTGGAAGTAGGTCCCCCACCTCTGCTCACTTCTGTCTCCTTTTATCTCTTGTAAAATAAAAGGTGATGCAGGCCACACCCCAGGGAAACTCCCCTTACGTCTGATCAGGGCTGTGACCTGAGGAAGGGTGTTGCATCCCAGCCTAATCCTCTAACATAACCTAATCTTGCCTCATTAACCACAGGTGAAGATTAGGATTTACAACACACAGGACAATTACATCAGATCACAGAATGGTGGACAACCACACAATACTGGGAATCGTGGCCCAGCCAAGTTGCCATATATTTTGGGGAGACACAATTCAATCCATGACAAAGCCCAATCCTTGGCTGTCTGGACTGGTTAGGTGTGGTCTTGCCTCAAGGCAGGAGGGAGAACAAGATGACCTCTTTGGATCCCTTCCTGCTGTGGGATTTGATGCAGACATTAACATCTGGGGAGGGACAGCAGCTGAGAGAGCCCAGTGGCCTGAAGCCAGCAGTTACAGGTGGCCCCGTCTGGGCAACCCACCTGGAGCTAACCAACTGGTAGAGCTGCAAATAGCATCAAGCCTGGCGGCTGCCAGGATTACCCATTTGACAAAGCCTCAAGCAGTGGATGGCATGGCTCTCTTTCAGAGGAAACAGAACCAGGATCTCTGACCGCACGTGTGGGTGTGTGTCCACGTGAGTGTCGTAGACACACACACAGAGAATGTATTTCTGTAAAGACAGCGGAAAGGCTGGCTCGGGGAAGGGGGGGTCTCTGCTCTCAGATCATCAGAAGCCAGATAAGGATCATAGCTCTACGTCTTTTTAGCTTAAGCGCCTCATTTTTCCTTGCCGCATCCTCCAAGGAGCAAAGGGCCAGGGCGAACCTCTCTGTTCCACAGATAAAAGACGAGAAGAAAGACAAGACACGGTCAGGTTTGCACACCAAAGCTGCTCCCAGTCAGGTTTACCCTGACTGCTACAATCCCACTCTTCTCCAAGTCACTGTTTTTCCTAGCCACCTCGGAATCAGATTGGTGGGTTTTTTTAAGCCTGGCACATAATACCAATTTATCGATCATGCACTAACCTTATTGACCAATCAATTAATCAACCCACATACATTTTTGAGGGTCCACACTTGAGCTAGGAGTCCCTAGGTGGTGCAAACAGCTAACACACCTGGCCGCTAACCGAGGGATTTGTAGTTTAAGTCCACCCAGAGGCTCCTCGGAAGAAAGGGCTGGCAATCTACTTCCAATAAAACCAGCTATTGAAAACCCTATGGAGTACAGTTCTGCTCTGACATACATGGGGTTGCCATAAATCGGAATCAACTCCATGGCAACATGGCAAATGGGCGGCCAGAAGCAGCCTGGGCATTCAGGGGAGACGGACACCCGTGAGGGCAGAGCAGTTAGGCTTCACGGAAGAGCTTCAGACACGTGCAAGGCCTCGAAGAAGACTTGGGTATAGAAATATTGGAGGCAGCGGAAATTCTAGGCAAATCGAACCAGGAGGAAGGGTATGGCAGAGCCCCAGGCAGCGAGGGACCACCAGGCCAGGTGCTGAGAGTCTCCAGTGGGACCCAGGCCTGCAAAGGTGGGTGGGCAGGGCCTGGAAGGTGAATGGGAGCTTCGGAAGGTTTCTGCACAGAGGAAGGACTGCCCGAAGACACTTCCAAAGGGACTGTCACGTGCAGCCAGACAGGGTGTGAGTTTCTGAGCAGGACCAGGCCCGCAGTGGGTGACCGCGCATTGAACCACACACCAAAGCGCCAGTGAACCCAACGAGGCTCCTTCTGAAGCTGCAAACATCTGCACACGGTGTTTTCTGGGGCAGCTCGGCACCCAGGGCCTCAGACCCCTGCACGTCTCAGGTTATAGAGCTTCGGCCTATCTGTCAGCACATCATAACACACACACACGCTCACACATGTCGAAGGACAGACACAAGAACATGTTAATTGACTTGACTTTGGTTAAAGCATATATTTAAAATCTAAGCCTCTAACTTAAACGCTCAGAAAAGTCTCTTTATCCACGATCAGTTGATGAATTAGCCGAGTTTTCATAAGCACCCCCTGCAACGCACATGGGGTTTGAGCAGTAAAATCTGGGGGCTGGGCTGGCTTCCTGTAACATTTCTCTCTCGCTGACTCTGGTCTCTCTCTCTCTCTGATCTACTCCGCACGCCTTCCATGATGTCCCTCCTCTGCTCAGGGACCTTCCATGATGCCCTGTTTCGTGCAGCTCCTCGTCCCAGCCCCTCTGCCAATGTCCACATCCAGATTCATTCATTCATCCCCCAATGCAAGCATCTGTTGAGCCCCTACTATGCGTCAAGCATTGCACTACGCACTGAAGATACATCCGTGGAGAAGACAATCACAGTCCCTGCCCACAGGGAAGCTGAAAACAATCCAATAAGCATGTGGAGATCAGTTATTAAGGAAACAAGTAGGGACATGTGATTCTCCCTATGGAGGTGCCATGGAAGCTGGGGCTCAAGAGATGAGGGGCAGTGATGGATGTGAAGTGTGTGGACAGGCAGTCCAGGTAAAGGGAGCAGAATGTGCAAAGGCCCTGGGGTTAAAAGAGCTTGGTGCAGTTAAGGAGTTGGAAGATGACCGAGGTGGCTGGAGCATGGTAAGCAGCATCTCGAAATGAGGTCATACAGGACTTTTGAAGGGCCGTGGTTGGACTCCCCCCTGTTCCAAACCTTTCCCTCCCCTCTAACTGTTCAAGATTAATGGAATCACCTGATGTCCTTCCCCCACATTCCCCTCTCAGTCAGCTGGCCACTGTGTCCTATTTGGTCTACTTCTCAACTTTCTCCCGACTCTCGCTCTCTTCCCTCCCCTCTGTCTCAGTTCGGGCCGTGACCATCACTCACCTAAGCCAGGCAACTCTGACCAGCTCTCCTGGCCTCCATGGGGCCCCTACAGTACCACCAGTCAGCTTCCAAAAACACAAATCTGAAGCCACCACTCTTGTGCAAAAGCTGAGGCCGGGTGGAGGATGGGTGGAGCCTGGCGATGGGCACTCGGGGCTCCTTCTGCTGTTCTGTGTGCTCTACTGCACGTTGAACACTTCCAGCAACCACCACAAAAGCAAACAAGGCAAAACAGCAAAAAACACCTCCTCATGTCCAGGAGGTCACGTCGTCAAAGAAGGACTGCAACAGGGTATTTTCTGGGCTTTGCATCTATTGGCTACGTAGTAAAAACTCAGTCGAGGAAAAACACTTCTGCTAACAGAATCCATGGTTTTATAATCGATCTATTCTGTATTTTTTTTTAAAATCTCCCTAAATCCCCACTGCTTTTAAGACACAGTTTAAACTTTGCTTGGAATCTCTGAGGGGTGCAAACGGGTAACACGCTCACCGCTAACTGAAAGGTTGGTGGTTCAAGTCCACCCAGAGACAACTCGGAAGAAAGTCCTGGTGATCTACTTCCTAAAAACCAGTCATTGAAAACCTTATGGAGCACAGTTTTACAATGACCACACGGGGTCACCATGAGTTGGAATCAACTCGACAGCAGCTGGTTGGTTAAGCATTGCTTGGCCAGTGACCTTCCCCAGCTAGCCCTGCCTCCTCACTGGCTCTCCAGCATCACCTAGCATCCCGCCAGATTAAAACGCCTGCTGTGCCCTGTACACACCATGCCCTCTCAAACCCTCTTGCTTTTGTTGGTCCCTCTACTGGCACGGCCTTGCTTGCTTCTCCTCTGGATAAATTCCCCCTCATTTTTGAAGCTCAGGTCCAATGCCAAGTCCTCCCGAAAGGTGCTCCTTCCTTTCTCTGTTCTTTCCTCTGCACTGGTTTGCACCACCACCTGCCCTCTGGCCTCAGAGCTACCCATGGGCGAGGACAGGGCTGCATCGTAACAGCAGAGCAAACCTCGATTGCACGCGGCCTCTGTGCCAGGGACCGCGCTCAGGGCTTCACACACAGCGGTGCTTTGAGTCCTCATAACGGCGCTAGTGTCTCCATTCTGGAGCAGAAGAAGCAGGCTCGGAGCCTGCCGGCACCCCGTCCAAGGTCACCCTGCTTAGTGCAAAGCTAAGAGGAACCCCACCCTTCCCGTTCTGCTCACTGTATTTACCCAGTAAGTCTCTGAGTGCCCTGCCCAGGGCCTGGCGTGCAGGCCCTGACAGACCCCTGCTTGCTGAATGCACACCACATGGATGAGCCTCAACTCCCCCTTGCTCGTCATCTGCCTTCCGCCCTTTCCCAGAGAAAACAAAGATGTGTGGGCAACTGAAGATCCGGCTACCAGCCCCAGCACTCAGAGGACACCTTGGACAGAGTACGCCAGGCCTCTGGAGAGCCTCGTGGGGAACCCCACCCATGGTCCCCCAGGTATGCCTCCTGTCCCCTGGGGAACTCAAAGGGAAACCGTGGCTGTGAGGAGTTCTCATAATTACATCAACCTGACCAAACTCATTTCCAGGCAATTTAACATGAGTTCCTTACATCACTTCGTCCTCACATAAAAATGAAAAGCTAGACCCAAAACCATGACCAAGGCCAGTGTTCAGACTTGTCCCTGATGTAACTTAACCACACCCACTACTATAACATACCTACCCTTAAAATGTTTTTCAAAAGAGCTCATGTAAAAAAAAGAAGTATTAAGGTATTTCCCCTCCATGCAGCTGCTGAATGTTCCAGAGGTTACAGATGAGGACAGTAACAGGTGAAACCCAACTTCCCCACAGATGCCAGCGTGTTCTCTGCCCTGACAGCAGTGGCGGCCAGCAATGGAGTGGCATGGGCTACGTACACGTGACACCAAACTTATTTTTGTTTTAAGCCTGTTATTAAACAGCCTTGGGCACTTGATCAGACCAAGTGAATTTGCGTCTCCTGCGGCCTGTACAGAGCCTTTTCCCTTGAAAACCAATGCCTTCTAGAACCTGCGCACCCTCATGGTCAAGGAGTCTCCTCTCCCTTCTCCCTGTACTTTGTCTCAGCCATCAAGGTGCTCAGACACCTGTTACCTGCAACATGTTCTGAGTTGGAGGTGACTCTGCGAGGTGGCAGATCTTCACGCCCGCAGAGTCTAAAAGAAGTTGGTTTTAGGTGTACCCAAAATTTGCTCCAGTGGGAAAGGATGCAAATCGAATGAGGAGCAACCCTTGTCTGGACAATAGCCATCAACTTTCCATCCCTGGAAGCTAGTTTTTTGGAGTTTGTTCTTTAAAGTTTTAATGGGAATCCAAGGCAGAAAGGGAACAAAAGGAGCCTCTGGCAGGCACACCTCCCAGCCTGGTCACGCTGGGATTAATATCAATTGTATCATCAAGCCTCACCACCCTTAGAAAGATGGGTAGCATTAGGGCAGCCGAGGCATTTGACACAAAGCACTTCCGAGGCCTCAGTTGGCCCATCTATAAAATGGGGGTAGAGCTAGCTCTTCCGCCTGCATGATGCTGTTGTGAGGCTCAATTAGACAGCAAAGCAGGCCCCACACTCCACAGACATGAGCTACGAGGACCCGTGTTCAAGATGGAGCTTCCAGGGGCTTCAGTGGCTGGGTGGCCTGGGTCTCCACAGCAGGTGAGTGACGGTACCCAGAATAACGGTGTTTATTACCCAAAGGCCAGGCTGTCCTTAACAGCTGGTCCAAGGAAGGTGGAGACCAGGCCCTGAAATATCATGGGGGGGCCCTCCTTCGGAGACGTAGAGAGCTTTCTGCAAAAGCCAACACCCCCTCTTCAGTGGGCACTTCAACTACTTTTTGATATTTCTTATTTTTGATGTTTTCAGCAGGGCTGGCTCTGGAGTTTAGGGCCAGCATTAGACACACAGCCTCGCTGACCCCCTGACTGTGTCCACACTGAGAGGGTGACCACTAGGCCAGCACTGGCCTGCTGGGGGCTACCGCAGGACTCGACCTTCAGACCCAAGGCTGCTGGTGTAATTCCGTTGACTTGCAGAGGATGGAAAAGTTATACGGAATCTCTCCTTCTTCGTGTCCTGAGTCTAGACATTGGCTCTGGGTGGCCACCTTTCCTAAGACACCATCACCCGATCTGACCCTCAGCAATGCGCCCAGCACCCCTAGGGTTCATGGACGGCATGTACCTCTCCCATCAAAGCTCCTGCCAGCCACCACCTCTGCAGGTGATGAAATGAATTTCCAGTGACCACCCATCTGTCAGTTTGTCTCACTGTGGTGGCTTGCGTGTTCCGAAGAGACTTGAAGATATGCTGCCAGTATTTCAAATATCACAGGGTCACCCATGGTGGACAGGTTCCAGTTGAGCTTCCAGACTAAGACAGACTAGGAAGAAAGGCTTGGTGGCGATCTGCTTCCAAAAAGTAGCCAATGGAAACCTGTGGATCGCAACAGAATATTGCCTGATACAGTGCTGGAAGATGAGCCCCTAGGTTGGAAGGCACTGAAAATACTCAGTGGCCACAACAGTGTACTCAAGCACACCAACAATCATGAAGATGGGGCAGGTCCAGGCAATGTCTTGTTCTGTTGTACGTGGGGTCGCCAAGAGGTGGAGCCTAACCAAACCCATTGCCACTGAGTCAATTCCGACTCATAACGACCCCGTAGGACAGAGTAGAACTGCCCCATAGGGTTTCCAATGGCAACTAACAATAATTTTCTCCCAGGGGGTAAGACTTAAGGTTTGGAATACAGGTTCAATGCTTATAAATGCCCTAGAAATAGAAGAGCTTAAAAACAAGGGATAAAAGAAAATGGTGGAGAGCCTTGGGGTTCTCTATCAGATCAGCAAGGCCGTGGAGGAGAAGGCGGTTGGTGGGGCACAGCTTTAAGGAGGGAGGAAGACAGCCACCATTCATTGAACGCCTGCTGTATGCCTTAGGGACTTATGTACTTCCCTTATTTAGCTTTCAAATAACCCTTTTAAAGGAGGTGTTATCACCATTTTACACATGAAAAACTGAGCCTCAGAAAGATTAAGGAATTTGCCAAAGTCAACAGCTTCTAGTTGCCAGGGCAAGGACAGGAATCCAGGTCTGCCCAAGCCCAGGCTCTTCCCACTGTTGGCACCGCGTCCAGGAACACGACGCGCTCACACACACTCGCCACCTTGGCCAGTCTGGTAGGAAGCAGAGACAGGATGGAAGGGAGATGAGAAGCAGGGAGGCCGGCGGCTGGCCACTAGAGCTGCCTGCAGCAAAGACAAGGAGGGCATGGACTCCTGCAGAAGCCCCATCAACATGAGAGGGGGCTGGCTTCAGGAGCTCACAGGACACCCCCAAAAATAGCAGACATCAAGCTTGGGTGTTTGGGGGATCGGTGCAGCTCAGCAGGGCAGAAACCAGAATCAGGCCAAGATCTCACACATACGTGCATGTGTGTGTGTGTGTGTTGTGGATTCCATGTGAGCTCTTGGAAGAGACCCAGATCTGCAGTGGAGAGTGTGGGAGGTTCTTGAAGGGGGGTCAGGTTGGGGACCACAGGTCTGGGTGTGACCTCGGCCATGACCTTACATGAAGGTGGCGGCTGAAGCTAAGGGAGTCAATAGTACAGGCTACAAAAGGAGAGATGTGAGAGGACATACGAGATCTTGGCAAGAAGTCTGGGGACTATTTCTCCTTTCCATCTCTACACATAGACCAGCCACTGTTGGAGAGGGAAGCGACTCAGAGAACCCGAAGGTGCAGAGTGACGAAGGCCAGCCCAGCCCTGGAGGGAGGGAGGGCCTGGCCCAGGTACTGAGGGCCACAGAGAGGATAGGGTGTGGGGACAGTGAAGACACTGGCAAATGTAGCAACCAGGGAGCCTCCGAGCTGGCCGCCAACCAAAGGCCGTGGGAGCAGAAGTCAGATGGCAACAAGCTGAGTGAGGAGGACGAGGAGGAGGAAGTGAGGAAGCAGCAAAGAGAGGCCACTTTTGAAAAATTCTGACATGGAAAAGAAAAAGATACAGGAGTAACTCATACTGAGATGGGTTTTTTGTTTGTTTGTTTGTTTTTTAAGACAAGGGATAATTGAACATGTTGGTAGACAAGAAGTAATGGAGATATGAAAGATAAAAATTGACACTGTACGAGAGAAAAAAATCTTCGCAGGGCAAAGTGGAAGAGGAATCAGGGAGCAGGTGGGGTCAGAATCAAAGGCAACAGCAGATGAGGCGAGATTGGAAAGGAAGAGACACTTCGTCCTTCATGGCAGGAGAGAAAGAGGAGAGAGGGGAGTTGAAAATGGAGAAACACTAAGAGGAAGAGACTGAAACCCACAGAGACAACGCTGAGCAACCCGATTACGCCAGAAAGAAGCGTGCCGGCTCGAAGGTGGGGCTGGGCAGTCTGTGTTACTCAGGATAAACTCTGCTAGCTGCCAAGGGGGCTCAGCTCAGTAAAAGTCTATTTCTCATTCATTCAAAGTCCGAAGACAATGTTCCTGAACAGTAGCCACCTTCCACAGAGTCATTCAGGGATCCAGGCTCCTTCCCCTGGTGTCTGCAGCACCCCCTGCGAGGAGACAGCACACGGGCCAGGCCTGAAGCAGGGCACAGCGCTCCCACCTATGTTTCACCCATCAGGCCCCCGCCGCGGAGCCACACCCACCAGCAAGGGAGGCCAGAAAAAGCAGTCTGGCTGAGTGCCCAGAAGGAAAAGGAAAGGTGCAGGGTGGAAATACAGCCAAGTATGCCATCAGGTGAGCACTCAATAAAGAAGAGTCCCGTCATCTGGGGTCATGAGTAGCGTGGGTGATGGGAATGGACCACCCCTCATGCTCGGGTCTTCCCAGCAAATCTTGTGGAATAACTCTGAAGACATTGAGTCCATTGCTCCCCCTGCCTGGCCCTACGCTCATAACACGCAGACACAAAGCCTTTCCCTCACATCTCTGCCACAGGACAGCACCGCCTGCCACCTTCGTAGTTGGTTGCCGACCAGCACTGAAGAGGTACGTCTTTGCAGCCTCACAGACTTTCATGACTGAAGGGATGAAGCCCTAACAACGGCCTTCCAGATGTTC